AACATTGGATTGAATGAATGGGTGGGGTGGAGAGGGAGTTAGACTTTATTCTGTATTTCACAGAAGAAGAAGAAAAAAAATAAATAAAAAAAGAAAAGTTTAGATTATCCATGGCGATAAATTTTCTTATTTTAAAGGTTTTTTAATTGGATAATAAAAACACATCTAAAATCCAATGGAAAATTCTTAAAAAATTATCTTGAAGCCACTGTGTTGTTTTAGCAATCTAATAGGCCATAGCAGACACCAAATTAATATCTGCTAAACAACTCACAAGATTGTTCTCCTTTGCAGTCAGATGAGAGGCAATTATTGTGAATATACACAGATTGTTTGTTTGATAAACTTACTCTACTTTAGTGAAAACTCTCGGGCCAGGCCATGGTTAACCCTGCCCGGTGTTCACTAAGAGACTGAGAGTGACTCTGTGGATGGAAATGAATGGGAGAACCTCAGACATCATGTTGGCATGATGAGTTTTTAATAAAGTAATTCCAAGCTAGCTGTATTTATAATTTATATTTTCTTCCAAATTGCTATTAAAACGGCTCCATGTTCAGGAAGCACCAACCCTTGGGCAGTCAAGTTGTACAGATCATCATCATTGTGTTAAACACTTATTCTCGATTTTTGTAAAACTACCTATTCGAAGTTTCTGGGATCCAAAATACTTCTAATATTTCCAGATTTCTAAAACAATCCCAAACCACCAAATGATCAGCTTCCCCTTTACCTCCCCTAACTTTGATCAATTTGTTTTATCTGCTCTTGCCTTTCAAGGATAAGGAAGCAAGAATTTTCAAATGTCGACCTGCCTAGATCTGGCTCGGTGACCGAATCACCTGTAGGTGAGGCTGGGTGACCCTTCACAGCTTTGTAGCTGGATTTGGAGGCTTTCTGTTTGTCCCTCCTCTCAGACCCACTGCGGTAACCATTCTGAAACAAAGTTGGAATGTAGGTGAAGAAAAAGGATGGAACCAGGCCAAGCTTGGGACTGTGGCCAAGACCATGTGTATCGATTTTTCCTTGCCAAAATATTATTGGCATTTTCCAGAACTCTTGCTAAGGATTTGGAATCCATCTCTTTTCTGAATCTGCCACATGTTACAATTCTCTTTAGACCATGAGCTAATGTTGCGGGAGAGTAGAGCATCTGGTATCATTAGAGCACTACACTCACTCTCTATGCTTAAGACAAGTATGCTGATGAGGAGCTCCCATATATTATTAAATAGAACTGTCTCTTTCATACCAAAATAGCAAAATTATGTTCACACTAACAAAATAAAACAAAAAAACAATAACAACAAAAATTTAAAAGAATTTAATGGGAACGTCTTATTCCTTATTTGTTATATTGTGTCTCGAATTTCTTTTGTCTTAATCAAAATATTCCCAGCTCATATCTTAGTGTAATGCTTTTTTTGAAATTCTGCTAACAGAAGATACATATGACTATTGTAATCATTTCCTAACTGAATAAAAGAGTAAAATGTAGGAGATAGGATTTAGATTATGAAATGTTAACATAAGAAAATAAGATTTCATAAAAATTTTATTTTAAAACCAAATATCTAATATTATACTGCTTCTGTTAGACTATAATCCTTGTAGGTGTTTTTCCTGTAATTTCTTCAATTATTAAAATGATCTGATAAATCATGTTATATTGATATTAATTCACCACAAAATGACCAACTTGCTGAAATCCAATTTTTAGACTTATGTGATCAATAAGTCTTGATATGTTAAAGTGAGATCTGAGAAGGGAGAGGAAAGAATGTGAAACTAACATATGACATAACTTGGAAAAGAAACTAATGGGAGTGAGATTTTGAGATGGAAAAAGTATTTGACCAAGTCTGTGAAGTACGAGCCAGAGTGTTGGCTGGCTTAGGAGTGGAATTGAAGACAGGAGGAAGAGATATAAGAAAATAAGTAGTTGGCTAAATTTGATTTTATTTTACACCTTTAATTTGATTATTATTGTTGAATCTCTATCCATCCTTTAGCTAATAAATAATCCTGTATAATGAGTACACTTCCTACCAAAATTCAAATGAAGAATGTGAAAAAAAAAAGTTGTGGGTTAAGTTCAGGCTTTCCCTTATATTCAGTCATAGTCATACAATTAGGAAAACATGCACACATTGCATTTAATGTAATGTATATATTTACTTATTTTTTCAAAATATAGCATCCATGTACCTCATATGCTATTGCAGGGCACAAAGACAATGGCTTATACAAAAACTTATTAAAGGTGGCATCATTTACTTTTCTTTTTTTTTTCTGGATTATGGTATGATTCCTGAGAAAGAGAACTGGAAAAGAACACATCCTGCTTGCACTTGAAACACATGAATTTTCAGAAGTCAATATGCTCCCTCTGAGATTCTATATTACTGTGTTTTCATTTTTCTTAGCTCTGTCCAAGGAAAGATCAAGAAGAAATGACACCCCAGGAGCAATGAACCCATCTGATGCCCACGATTTCTCTGTTATCACTCTTCCCTAAAGTGAATGAGAGCACCTTGAAGAATCTGATACAGGGCTGGACACAGTAAGATGGTCCTGGTGTTCCTTGTTATGCCAGGAAGTAAGGAAGTACCATAAAAAGAGTGATGGGAACATGTCATAAGGACACAACTGCAGTTTGAAGGGGCATTACAGGCCAGATCTGGGACAATTACAGTACTAAAATAATTATACACCTTAATGAATTGTAATCCACTAAATGGGAATTCAGGGGTCCACATTTATAAGTGGAGGAATGTATAATTAAAGAAAGGAGACCTCTTCCTTATAGTAAACACAGATGACCAACTGATCAATGTGGAGGGAATGTTAAATTTGGAAAATAATCATTTGAAAAACATTATGTTCTGCATGGAATTAGGCAAAATCATGAAGGTATGACAAATTTGGAAAAGAAATGTTTATTAGGAGTGGATATTTACATTATCTTACAGTGTGTTCCCACAGACTAATTATTCATATTAAGGGAGAGAAATCCATAATTGTACAGTGGAGATTTCAGCACTATTTTAATGAGGTGATCAAAACCAACATCACCAGTGAAGGATAGATGGATATCATATGTCTCCAAATGTGAACTTAGAAAGATACAGTGCAGCTATGCAGTATTCCAGCTGAGAGTGCATAATATCAATCTAATCATGAGGAAACATCAGATGAACATAAGAGAGGAACATGGGACTTAAAAAGGAGGTCTTTACTCTTCAAAATGTCAGTATCATAAAAGAAAGATTGTTAGGGATGTTTAATATTAAAGGAAACTAAAGAGAAATAGCAGATAGCACAATATCTGACCTTGGACTGGATACTCTAATACAGGGGGGAAATGGTGTAAATGACGTTTCTAGACCAACTAACAAAATTGGAATATTGATGCTAAGATAGATCGAAGTATTATATCAATTTAAATTTACAAAGCTGATAATTGTATTTTTCATATTCTGGGGCAATGGGCTATGTAATTTATTCTTACTTGGTTATGTGTATATATGTTTCCCCCTAAGATCTTCAAGAAGGCAAGCATATTCACTCTCACCACTTCTATTGATCATTGTACGGCGGTTTAGATAGATTCAAGATAGGTCAGTAGGGCAAAAAAAGTAAATGAAAGCCATCCAGATTGGAAAATAAAAAAGTGGAACTTCTAAGTGAGGTTAATGCATTGTAGAGTACCAGATGAATATACTAAATTAATTTTGTCATCAATATTAATAGCATAAGATTGGAAATTTAAAGAAATGCCATTTACAATAGCATTAAAAGATAAAGTACTTAAGTCTGAAAAATATATACAAGGCCTATACATTGAATATTTGAAAACTCTGATGAAAGATTTCAAAAGAAACTTAAATAAATGGAGAGATACACTTCATTTATGAAATGGAACACAAAATAATGTTGAGAAGTCGAGTTGGAAAAAAATTTAAAAAATTAAAAAAAAAGTCAAGTTGGATTATAAATTTTATGCAGTCTCAGAGTCAAAATACCAGCAGGTTTTTTGAGGGGGAGTAGAAACAGACAAGTTCATTCTGAGGTACATATAGAAATATAAATCACCCAAGAGGTGCCTGGGTGGCTCAGTCAGGTAAGCTGATTTCCACTCAGGTCATGACCTCAGGGTCATGATATCAGGGTGGTGAGACTGAGTCCCAAGTCAGTCTCCACTAGTGGTGTCAAGTCTGCTCGAGATCCTCTCTCTTCCTGTCTTCCTCCTGTTTGCATGCACATGCTCTGTCTCCTCTTTCTAAAATAAATAAATAAGTCCTTTAAAAAATATATAAATTATCCAGAATAGGCAAAAACAACTTGAAAAAGAATGAATAAAGTTGGACGATAAAGACTATCTGACTTTAGGACTTATTGTAAATTACAGTAGTCCATACAGTGCGATCATGGTGTAAGGATAGACAGATTAATGGAACATAATCGAAATTACAGAAGTAGACGTGCACATATGGTCAACTGATACCAAAAAAGATGCAAAGTCAATTGCATGAAGAAAAGATAGAATTCTTATATTGTGTTTGGAATAATTGAGTATTTATTTATTTGTTTGTTTATTTATTTATTTATTTATTTATTTTTAGAGTATCCCTTTATTTAAAAAAATCTTGATCCATAGTTTTCGCCATATACAAAAAGAAACTCAAGATAGTTCATAGGCCTAAATGAAACACCAAAAAAGAAAATGTGAGAGAAAATATTTTTGATTTTGAGGTAAAGTTTTCTTAGATATAACACCAAAGCCCCCAAAACATCAAAGAAATAGTTTATATATGGAACATCACCAAAATTAAGAACTTTAGGCCTTCGAACAACATTGTTAAAGAAATGAAGACAGAGACCAAACATGGGGAGAAAATATTTGCAAACCACACATCTAGTAAAGAGCTTGTATTCAGAATACATAGAGAACTCTCAAAACTCAATAGGGAAACAACAACTCAATTTAAAATAATAATGTTTGCTTTGGTGTGACATATGCTAAAATATGAACAATACAGAGTAGATTAGCATGGCTCTGGCAGTAGGAAGATGCACAGATTTGTGGGGAAAAAAGCAAACAAAAGATTTGAATAGGCACTTTATCAAAGAAAATGTACACACATTCTGTGTGTGTGTGTTTGGTAAAAAGCACATGAAAAGATGGCCAATATCATTAGTCACTGGAGAAATATAAATCAGAACAATTAGGTACCAGTGCACACCTATTAGAAAGTCTACAGCTAAAATATTGATAAGGTGTTAAAATGTTGATGAGGATAGACAGCTACTAAAATCCTCATACGCTGCTGGTACAAATGCAACGTGATACAACTGCTCTGGAAAACAGTTTTCAGCTCCTCAAGAGTTAAATATACTTTCACCATAGGGTCCAGTCATTTCATTTCTAGCTGTTCACTCAATAAAAAGGAGAGCCTATATGTATACATGTTGATGGATGTTATTTGTAATAACCCTAAACTGGGAACAGTCTCTATCTCCAACAACAGGTCAGTGGGTAACAAATTGTAGACTTTGGTATAGAATGGACTACTGCTCAGTTACGAAAATCATCAACTATGGAGCCAGTCACCAATCTTGATACATATGAAAATAATATACCGAGTGAGAGAAACTGAACTAAAAAAAGGTACATCATATATGATTCCATTTATAGGAAATTCTATAAAATGCAAATTAATCTATAATGACAGAAAACAAATAAATGGTTTTCTGGGATGGAGGGGTGGGTGACGTATGCACAACACCTTTAGAAATATAAAACAATAAACACACAACTGCTTATATGTTAAATCCACTATTTCCAATATTAAAAAAAGGCAAGGTTGCTGGCAATTACTAAGTAAAGTCCTCTCAATGCATAAAAGAAAATATTTCAATAAGATAAATTTTTAAGGAAAGGAATTATAGATTTGAAGGATCCTTTACAAATCAGTCATTATTAAAGGATTTCTTATTCCCTTGAAACTATTGCTGAGCCATACACCATTTTTAAAATATGGAAATTTCATAACTTTTTTCAGGGTTAAAACCTGAAAGTTTTTAATTAATTTGTATGCCTGAATATATGCCTGGCAAGTAACTCCTTTAAGGAAAATGAATTTTTTTGAAATATTTTTTCTTCAAAGAAAGAAAATGCTAGATATAACAAGAATATGGCCTTAGGAAAAGAGGCAGATGGTTTTAATTGCTGGGAAAGTTCACGGGAATGTATTAGTAATCACACGTCTTATATAGAAAATCACCTCCTTAAGATGCTCAATTTCACAAAAGTGCAAAAAATAGTTCTGTGGCAGGTAGCGAGATGACCCGCAGAAGATGAGACAGTCTAATTCCTAGAACCTGTGAAGATGTTAAATTCCGACCCAAAAGAAATTAAAGAAGCAGATGGAATTCAGGTGACTAATCAGTGGGTTTGAAAATAGAGCGATGACCCCAGGTCATGTGCATGGGCCCAAGGTCATCACAAGGTTTCCTAAACATGGAACAGCCTCTGCGAGGCCGGGATGTTTGTGTCCAACTAACACGAGGTAAAACAGATTCCACCGGGCATCGCTGATTTGGAAAATAGGAGGAAGCCCCCAGTCGAGTAAAATGCAGCCTCTGGAAGCTGGAAAGGGCAAGGAAACACTCCTCTAAGGCCCCCGGGGAAGAATAGGGCCCGGCCGCCCCTCGACTGTGGCTCTAGGCCCACCTTGGACCCCCGATCTCCAGGACTGTCAGACGGTAAGTGTGTGGCAGCAACAGCCAACTCATGTGATCTTCATACTTTGTTCTGTTTTGGTTCAAGGATTTTCTTTATGTGACAGAGAGAGTGAGAGCGAGAGCGAGAGCACAAGCAGGGGGAGCGGCAGGCAGAGGCAGGCCTGACGCTGAGCGGGGAGCCCAGAGAGGGGCTCGATCCCAGGACCTGGGATCCTGACCTGAGCCGAGGCAGCGGCCTACCCTTCTGAGCCACCCGGTCGTCCCACAATCTTTATACTTTGAACTGGCATAAAAGACTCTGGCTCCGTCTCCCAGGAAATTCCCATTCTGGGCTTTTATGTTCCATAGATGAATGTGTGGAACGACCGTTTTCCTTGAGTTGCATAATAAACCAAATATTCTCTGTGCGGTATCCACTGTGATTAAACTGGTTTACCTCAAATGAAAATTTAGGAGCAAAGAGAAAGAAGGGACAAAAGTGGTAAGTAATCAATATTACTCAAGAATCCTTTAGTTTCTTAAACAGGAGATTTATATCTTGTGCTCTTCCTTAAGAGTTTTGATGGATTTTGTCGACACGGGCTCTCGTGAAGGTGGAAAGAAGTCTTGCATTTTAATGAAAATGAATCTTGCTGTCATCTCCCAACTGGACAGAGATCTGTTACGGCAAGTGCAATTTCTTGAGAACTACCATGCATACGTCCCTTGCAAAATATCACATTATTATTATTATCATTATTACTACTACTTACCACTAATGTTTTAATGCTTCAACTACCTATTGAGAGATACAACTTCTTTCTTTGCAGATTTTTTTATAACAAAGTAAAGAGCACATTCAAATTTATAAAATTCTCCAATTATTTTATTAAAGACTGTGATTTATTTTGGCACAGTGTCTATATTTTTGAAACATTCTAAAAAACCACAGCAAGAGAAAGAAAACTATACAAACAAGGCCTTCCCTACCCACTCATCATCACCACCGAAGACTGAGTTTTTAACTGACACTCTGAATGGAAATATATTAACTTCTCATTCTTTTATCCAGAAGTCATGTCTAGTACTGCCAATGTGTAATACATGTTCTGACCGCCCTATTCCTGACCTCAAATGGCACCTGTCCTCAAATGAAATGGAAGCATTTATATGGAAACTAGAAATGGTTTGTGTCATTTGGATACGACAGCCAAAGAGTGTTTTTTTGAAAAGTGTTTATTCCAAAAAAGCATGCCCTTCACTATTGTAGAATTGTCTCTTGACCTTTTTCCACTAAAAAGTTTACCAACCACTAAAAAGAAAGGATAGTTACGTAATACGATAGACGCGTTCAATGTCGCTACAATGGCAACCAGACTATGGCAGTGAAATATGGATGTATCAAATTAACGCGTTGTATGCCTTAAATTTGCACAATGTCACATATAAAGTATACATATTCAGTAATTCTTTTATGTAAAAGAGGACACGTTTATACTGTCTTAATACTCATTGGATATTTTATACATAGATCCAAGTTTACACACACATCCAAGGGAATCAACAATTTACTGACTCCTCCTGAGATTTGAGCTCAAGAAATTACTTGCCTACCGAAATACCAGTTAAAATTTTGGAATTTGGGGATGCCTGGGTGGCTCCGCGGATTAATGCCTGCCTTTGGCCCAGGGCGTGACCCCGGGGTCCTGGGATCGAGTCCCACGTCGGGCTCCCGGCATGGAGCCTGCTCCTCCCTCTGTCTGTGTCTCTGCCTCTCTCTGTGTGTATCTCATAATAAACAAATAAAATCTTAAAAAAAATTGGAATTTACTTTGTATAGAAAACCAGTCGGTCTAGGCAAACTGGACCTGGTGATTAATTTTTATTATACTTTTTCAAAGATGATGAGAATTAAAGAACATTTCTGTGTTTTCTCTTGATTTGATGATGATATCTAGTGTTTGAAGCCTCTCATTGCCGTTCTCTTATCCTTTATTATCATATTTACTTTATCATCCTTTATTATCAAATCAGTGTAATGAGATTTTAATGAGTTTGGTTAAACTTTCTCATTCTAGTCTGATTCACGTAGCCATAGTGGATAATGTGTAAAGTCCCATTTAATACCTTCCACATGTTGTAGCTTCCATGAGCTATAATGAAGAATTCTAACATAAAATTAGATTGGAGAAAAGCAGAGTCTGTATACCTAAACCAATGAATATAAGAATAAATTAAATGCAATTATTCAGTTAAAAAAAAGTATGGTACCAGAGATTGAGGTTGATGTTGGAAAGAATTTATATATATTATCAAATATCAACCACTTTTCCTACATCAATCCGTTTGTCCCCCGTGTCAATAAAATACATTCATTTTTTTTTTATTTTCTAGCTCTAATTCCATTTGAGTGCTAGCTAGCCTCCTATCTTTAAGTTTTCCATGAATAAAGGGAAAGATGAAAAGAAAGAGTTAACTTTAGCTGGGGGATATTTCTGAAAGATTTTCAACCAGTGAAAGATAATTCAGTTCAAAGTTAGAAAGAAAAATATAATAATCAAGTAACTGGCAGTGGTCCACAGGAAAAGATTGTTCATGAGCCGGCAGGCAGGCCTGGAACACTTAAGAGATGGAAGCTGTGGGTGGAAAGTCACTGCCTACATGAAATAAAGTGGGTTTTGGCACCGCTTTAAACTCGATGTCGAATTCTCTGTCTGAACCGTTTTGTCTTCCCAGACAGTCAGTCTCACCAAGGGAAGGGGGGCAGGGAAGCCGGGAGCAGCGATGTCCTTGGGAAGTGCCGGCTCCCTGGAGGGACTGTTGGAGACCCAGCTGAGTCTCATCACAGTCGTGGAAAAAAGCCCTCAGTCAATGGTCTGATCCTGGGAACATATCCCCTGGAGAATCAAAACGGCTTCGACACCAACAGACGCACTTTGTCACATGTATTTTGTGTTAGGATACTTCAGGGCCCTAAAAATCCATACTTTTTAAGTCATATTTTGTCAAGGTCAATATGCACTCCACTTACTGTCGAAATCGTATTGAGCAAATACTATTAGCAAGTTGGTATTTGTTGACTTCTTATCACTGGAAACCAGTGAATCATAGATGGAATTTCGTAAGGCCAAAGATACATTGGAAACTTTAGGCCTTATCTAGGGGCTAACTCCATAGAAAATCGTTTACTGGATCATGCTTAATAATATCTCAGGAAATAGGAGAACTAGGACATATTTTATAAAACGTGGCCTTTATTTTAGAATAAAATGCGAATATTATTTCCTTTAACTTGCAGTGAGCCCTGTAAGTACAATGAGTACCACACCTGCTGCTTATCATACTGAGACCCTGCATTATTACCATTTGGTTATATTTGTTTTCCC